CGGAAATAAAACCTAGTGACGCCTCTCGTGTTTAATAGACAAGCACTACAGCCTCTGATGCTGGTGAGCAGCACGCTGGCTGTGACCAGGCTGTAACTCGGGACAGACTTGGCCTCTTTTGGACCTGTGCGTTTGGTTTGACACGCCGTTTCACAGATATTTCCTGAGCTGACCTGTGTGTGATCTATCGCCACAATGCGCTTACCGTACTACACGCGTCTTTCTGTTGTGCATTTTTCCTGTCCGTCAAAGTGGCAGATGGCCTGAAGATTTCGCCCACCACCAAGTAACCCGCGGGGGGCGGGTGCTACTTTCATTTGTGACACTACAGTTTCTGTAGTGTCAGCTTCTGTCAAGCTTGAGCCCGCTGTACAACAAGAAGTCAAGGTAGAGCGTAATGTGCGCAGTTGATGCTTCCTCTGCAGACTGCTTTACTCTCGTGTGTCATGTGACCAGAGTGTAATCGCAGCCTTTGTGATTAGAAAATCTCGTTTTATCATATCGCGATAATATCGCAAATGCAATTAATCGTTCAGCCCTACTCAACAGGCAAAGAGCAAGGGACAGAAAAAAACACCAGAAATAGTGTTGGATATCAATTCCCAGCTTGCTGGAGGGGCTCAATTAGGAGGTGACACTCAATCGAGGGGTCTCTGAAATGAGTTTCACTCCATTACATTAAACTGTACTTAGCTGCAGCAGTAGCCCCGGACTTGAGAGGTCATACAGAAATAGTTCTTGATAAATGGACCTTAAATGTACTGAGACTTGTAAGTACAAGCATTAAAGCCACAGAAGATATTTCTTCACTTGCACCAAAGTTACTATTCTAAAATCAGTACATGTTACAACATTAATACTTAAACATACTGCTTTACACCAAAAGAAAAAGTACAGTTGACAGGAACGTATATACGGTGTGCAGACACAGTGATGCTGACGCCGGTTGTTGGGGACTGTAAGGGAAAGTGTGATCACCAGAGTCAGGAGACAGCAGCTGGAGGAAGATGACTTGCTGTGGGAGTGATCCAGGAAGTGCAGTGATTGGCACTGAAGCCAGAAACTAAAGTCCATGATGTGTTTATTCACTGACCTTGGCCTACAAACTAACCTAAACCTTCCTGTTCCAGTTTTCCCTCATCAGTGCTGATCTGAATTGGCATAGTGTTCCTTCTAGCACCTAATTAACACAGTTTCGTGTCGTCTTTCAGGAATCTTTATTCACCAGAGACTATAAGTTAAGGAAACCTAGTCACAGTTCCTCTGCATATTTTTAGATATAGTACAGTTAAGATGATGATTTTTTTTATTCCTGTGAAAAATTCAAATGTAATTCTAAAAAGCCATTCATGAGTGAACATCACAGGCAAGATATTCTGTTGTTTTTGACTGAAATAGCAGATAGATACCATATTTTTTTAGTTGAAATTAAGACCTGTAGCTACAACCTGAATATACAGCAATGACCATGTTTATAACTGACACAATTAGGCCGCGGGGCGTACAAGCTTTTATCTTTTTCACTTCAAAAATAGAAATACAAATGACTTTACTGTACTGTGTAACAGAACATTTGTAGCTTCATTTTGTAGCTACTGCTGATATATATATATATATATATATATATATATATATATATATATAAAATATTTTAATGGCTGAAAAGGCAGAATTACAACAATTTTGAATGGAAATACAGGGCACGACAGTAACGGTGGCCTGATGGCCCGGGGCCAGTAAAACGTAACGTGGGGACACTAGCCCGATCGGCCAGTGCAAAAACTCAACATCCTGCAGTTGTTTTGCAGCTCTTGGCGCGCACCGATGTCCAATCCAGAGTTGCAGTTACGTGACTTGTCAAATGTTATTTCTCTAATCTCAATCATGCGGCAACCTCTGGGTCGAAAGTGAAACCATGCAGACGGACCTTAAATCTGCGTTCTCTCTAACGGCCAGCAGGGGGTGGCTTCCATTAGAAATAATGGTCAAATGTTGCTACTTCTCAGCTGATTTATTACCTCAGTAAACAATTTTAAATGAGTTTATGGTCTCAGTCGCTAGTTTCAGGTGTTCTTCAACACAGCATGATGTTCATTTAGTAAATTATGGTCCTATTTAGGGGAAAATAGACGATAATGCAGCGTATGCTTTTGGACGGGACTACCTTGTGATTGACAGGTCGCTACCATGGCAACCTGTTCATCATGATAGAGGCGACTCGTGTACATTTTTCATAAATGGCTGTCAGCAGGGGAGCAGAGAGTTTTAAAAGTAAATTGTTTTGTTAACCTTTTTATTTTTTTATAATTTTAACTGTACACTTTTGTTTATTTATTTATTTTTTATATCCAGGATGTATTTAATAAACGATTAAACACTTTTGGAAGGAGGGACAGTAAAAATTGTCTTTGGGCCAGTAAGTTTCAAACCCACTGGCCCAGTGGGGCCAGTTGCAAAACGTTGACGTTGAGCTCTGAAATATATGGTAAAAACAAAATGGTGTAATAGAAGAAAATAATTTAAATTCTAATTCTGTTCATCATGATAGAGGTATACATGCATGCATTCTGGCTGATTTAAGGTGAACTTCCTCTCAAGTATTTGCGCATTGTTTGAGCCTAACATGGTTTTTTTTGTCCTCCGGCTTCCTTACTTAATGACTCAGCTGTTCAAGACCATCATATTGGTTGCTTCAAGCAGGTACAAGTATTGTTTTTATTTCAACAGAGTTGGAAAGAGGAAGGAATTTCAGTGTCTATAAAACAATGAAACCTCCCTAACGTCGCCTTAAGGAGCTGCAGTTACACCATGATGGTATAAATGCTGTTGCAGAGGCCTTTTCCTTGCTTACAAAGGCCTGAGGGCAATGAAATAAGTTTTTAAGGGTCATGAAACCACATGTATTTCTTCCTTTTTGTATGAAAGTCTTCAAGGGGTCCATAGTTAGACAGAATCCAGACACTTACTCCTTTTTGGCTTGACTACTAAATAATAAGAGAGAAATCCACCCTAGATTAGAGATTCATCCAGCTGGTGGTGAGGGTGGTTTGGAAAAGAGGAGGATCTCTTAACTCAAACTAAGCTTATTGAAATTCAAGAATACAGAACCATCAAACCACTTAAGTGTCTTCACAGTTCAGCCAATTCAGATACAAAAATGCAGCAAGTGTGATAGCAGATGGTTGTTTAAAACAGAAGTTAAACAAAAGCCTCCGCTGTTGGAAAAGTGTCTCATTATCTTGTCAGCGGTGCAGGGAAATGAACAGACAGCTACTGTTTTAGTTGTGTGGGCTCTGGAAGAAAGGAAAGTTCTGGTTCCTTCTTCAGCTACAGTATTAATTTCAAATCTTACAAAAGAAGTGGCTGCTGCTGTTTTAGAGGACTGACAGGAGGAAGGTGACACAGAAACATCAAAGAGATTAAAAAAAAGTATATTTCTGTGACAGTCTTTACAAAAATAAGTCTTTAGTACTTTAAAGTTTACCATGTGCTGCAGGTTGCACCCTGAGAAAAGTCAGGTTACTTTAGGAGAGTAGCCATTTTTCATAATAAGCTGCAGGTTTAAATAGTCAGATCAGCTGTTGATTAACATTGTAATGTAGTGCCTTAAGTTGGCCACCAGAGGGCACATTATGTCACTTTTTAACCACATTTTAATTAAAACACGGGAGTAAAAAGAGTGAAGCTAGAAAGACCAGAGGACAGCCAGCCACTGCAGGACTCGAATAAGCACTGAAGCAATGCATCTGAGCAGAGTTAAAAATATTGTGTTAAAAAAAAAACAGCTGGAAGACAAAGTTTGCGAAGTAAAAACCGGAGTGCTGCTGGACAGACAGGAGACAGACAGGACGAACGGACTGAGGGACAGATGGACAGAGACATGAAGAGGGAAGACCAGTCAGGATAGCCCACCGGTTACTGTTGAAGGAGGGAATGTGGCCCCCACTCACGGCCACACTTTTGTTGTTGTTGGCTAACATCATTTGAAGGAAGAGGAAGAGAAGGCAGATTAATGAGGAGACAGAGCAAGATTAGAAACACACTGCTGCTACTACTACTACTAATACAGCTGCAGGCTAAACGATGGCAGGAAGCCACATGCACTGCCATCTAAACGCCATAATACCTGATGGGCCATTTGTTTCACGGTCAACTAACGGTAGTGTTAGACTGATTTGATGTTGTTTTTAAGGGATCACATTGTTGAAAGATAGCTGCAATCCACCGCATTTTTAAATTTGGACATATTTATGTAAAACAACCAAAGTTTGAGTTTAGGATTATTCCTTATTTTTTCGATTAATGGACTATTTGTTGAGTTTATAAAATCTTGGAAAGTTGTGAAAACTTGAGCCCAAGTATCCTTGTTTGTCTGATCTAAAGTTAAACCCCCAAAAGATTCAGTAATGATGATATAATACACAAAACAGTGCATTTTCACTTTTTATGCTTGATAATAGAAATCATTCTTATTAATTGTTTCTCAGACTAATTAGGGATGATGATAATAATGACTACGTCATGCAAAAACGTACTTGTGTATTGGTTCAGGTAATGTTTATATGATGAACAACTATGATAATATAACAGCTTTTATAATATTTTAGATCAGATTTTTAGTAAAATGTGAATAAGAACAGCAGTATATTAGTTTATAGTTGTCTCTCTGTGGATCTGTTGCAGCCACATCACCACTGGACCAAAAAGGCAAAAATGTCCTTTTCCGTATTATAGCTGGTAATACGGTCTGTGTGCTTCACGCTGCAGCAGTACCTGGTGCGGGAAGATCCAGCTTTGCCCTCCTGAGCTCCGTCATGGACGCCTGTAGCTGCTCAATCACAAAGTCGTCCTCGAAGAAGAAGTCTTTGGACAAAGTCGCCTGCAGAAACTCCACCAGGTCTTCCATTGACAGCTTCATCAGGTGTTCTGTAAATCACACACAGAACAAATAAATAAGACCCTTTCAGTCTTTGAGAGGTGGACACCAGCTGGTACCACTGTGTGAACAGTCTTACTCTTGTGCAGTTTGAGGATAGTGTAGGACATGGCGGGGAGCAGTCTTTCACCCTCCAAGATGTAGATGTCCCAGATCCTGAGGGTGAGGGTGAAGGGAGTCTGAACACAAACAGAACAAAAGGTCAGAAGATCATCTCATTGTTTTCCCTGGACGCCCCTTGTAGACTGATGTTTTCCTTTGGCTCACATTTTCCATAACGAACAAGGCTGTGGCTATGTATCTATATTTTGGTTATTGCCAACAAATCCCAGCAATGTTTTGGTTCATCTGTCAATACTTTCTGACTTTTACTACACTGTCTGTGGCTCCTAGCCCCAAGCCTATTACTGGAGATATACAAATATTGTATTTTTTAATAAAGGCTCAGTAATTTCCTTTAGGTGGGAACTGTAGTTTGTCAGCAAACATACTGCAACACAAGGAAAATAGTGCATATGTTGGGGACTTGTTGGTTTTGGTCTTTTCGTGGGATTTGATGACAATAAAAAAATACAGAATATAACCAGACACATCCTTTTTAACATGATGGTATCGCATATCATTTCTGCACTAAATGATTTGAAGCCGTTTTCTTCCTGACTGCAGCTGGACAGTATGCTTTTATTTTCATTCCAAGCATCTGACCAGAGAACATTATTCAGTGTGGTGAGGGGGGGGCGACCACTTATGAAGCTTAAACAAAGAAACTATATTCATATTTCACATGTGGGGTGAGCTTGCTGTTAATGTACTCACTCTGTCCAGGAAGCACTGGAAGAACCACTTCATGGTGTAGAGACTGGTTAACACCTCCTGACTATCCTGCAGCAGCACAAACAAACCCAACAGAAAACCTATTCAGTGCATTGAGCTGGGCGGGCTGAGATCTTTTATGTCATTTGTCAAAATATATTAAAAAAAAGAGTCCTTCTAAATGAGTAAAACACATGAAGCTTGTTTGTCTTGTACATTACATTGAGTACATATTTTATTAAATAGTTACCCCCTAACATTATCCAACAATTGTTTTATTTAATCACGGAGTTATTTAGATGGATCTTTTAAGTCTGGTATTATGAGCACTTGTTACATTATTCAGCAGTTGTTGCATTATTAATCGCTGCAGCAGTGTTGTGCGTCTCACCAGGTGCTGTTTCAGTTTGGGCATCATCTTCTTGAGGATGCGGTCATGGTGCTCCTGGAAACGCATCAACTTCGGGAAGCCGGGGACAAAAAACCCTGCAGGTGAGGAGAAAAGGCCCAATCAGGTTCACTGGGCTGACATAGACCTTAATGTGGAGTGTGTCACAGTCTTACCTGCTCACTCTTATTCTATTGGCCGGAAATTACATGCAGTAAAACTTTCATGTTTTCCAGTTAAGCTTCATGATGGCAGCAGAACTTTAAGTCTTCTCTTTTTATACATAGTCCTGACTTTCAGGGCCAATTGGTGAATCTCTTAAAACATGTATGTATCCTGTATGTTTATGGTCTATAATGCGTATCCCCGAGTGTAGTGATGGCCATTTATGGTTTATCAGTTACTAGAGATTTATGAGCTCATTGCTGCAGCATGCCTGCTTGCTAATTTGTCCTAATTTTATCAAGGCCAGCAACGGTGCTGAAGCACAAGTCTCACAGGGGTCTTTTTCTTGAAGAAATGTCAAGTAAGGACTTGATAATCATGGTCAGAAGACTGTGTGTCTACCAGCCACTTGAGTGTTTTTAGTGATGCTCGCTGGATGCTCCTGTGTTGCATTTCGGTTGCAATGTGCACTGGAAGCATTTTAGAAGCACCTGTTCTTCAGTAGCCACATTTTCAATATCATTTTCAGTTGTTTAGCCATTTTATTTTGTGTTTTACAAGCATGTTAAATACACCTTTTTAGCTACGTGCTTATAAATAACAAAATCTAGTTGACAAAACAATCTCCCTGCAAGGTTCATTCGTAGCTGTTCTGGAGTTTTTGACTGAATTTCAGTGTTGTAGGTGTTCACATCATCTACTTTGACACTTCAAATCTGGAATTGAGAATACAGGAACAGCGAGAATGAACTTTTAATATGAAGAAAAACTAGTTTTGTCTGTAACAAATGAAACTTATATGAATTTTAAGCCAATTGTTAGTACATACGGGCATTTATGTACATTCAGAAGTGAATTTCACGTTTCATTCTGCTCCAGCAAAAATAGAACTGATGCTTCAAGATATTGCAGCGAAGAAGGAAAGAGCAACAAGTGAGATCACTCATCCTTTTTAATGTCGGCACTTCAGCTAGAAGGCAGCAGATGGTCTCCGGCGGCCACAACACAGCTGCATCCAGCGAACATGCTGTTGAAGTCAAGATAACCAAACGCTTTTGCCCATGAAAGTGTGTTTATATGTGTTACCATGCATGGCATGCTTCTGCCCAGACAGTAGTTTGACCAGAGCCCAGAAGGCGTCCTCTTCATTCATGTAGATCAGCAGCAGAGCTGTGATCTGACTCATGCCCTGGCAGTAGCCCACCTCCTGCAAACAGACACAGCCGGGGTAATGATGAGTTGATTCCTTACTGCCTATGAACCCTGTTTTCTTCTTTCTTATGCGAGGCAACATGAATGAACTGAACAATGCCAATTCTGAAATGTTGTGTAGGATTGCCTACATTGGTTGTGTTCATATATCATTATGTGTGTGTTTATATATTTTTATGACGCCGCTGATGTTTTTATCTGCACCATTTCTGTTTGTAAATCTTATTTATGTGCAGCTAGTATTTTACTCGGACCTTGTGTGATTGATTATAAACGTCTGACATCTGCATTTAGTGGGAAACAACAAAACATTTTTGAAATTATTTGTGGTTCAGTGGATTAATCTGTCTAATGCATCCAAAACCTGAAGTAGCAGTTTGGAAATCCAGTACTTCAACAACAAAATTATTCCTATAAGATCTGCAAAAAAAAAAAAAAGCACCCAAAAGTGTAATAAAAGCATAGTAACCTTTGCAGCATTCTGCAGACTGAGAGGTCGAATGACTCACCGTGTTGTACATGGAGTAGGCTGTGAGGACGTGGAAGAGAGCCTGCTGCCTGAGGACACAAACCACAATTACCACAAACGCCTGCAAATAATCCAGAGTTCAGAGCCAGGATCATAGTAGTAGTACTTCATAGTTCTGTATTTTAACAGCTTCTAACTTCCACACAAGACTGATTTGTGTTTCTTAATTTCAGAGTAGCAGCATTAAAAACTCATTACAGCGATGTTGAAATGTGGTGTAAATACCAGAGCTACGGCTGGTTGCTGATTCTCTGATTTACAATTCATCAGAAACTGTTTGTCAGATTTACGTGACAAAGCAGAAGTCCAAACAAACAGAAAAAGGGGACATGAGCCCTCTCACTTCCATACTGGGAAAGCTTTCGGGCTTGAGATGTTAAGAATCAGTTAGGGCACATTCACCACCTTCTTTTGATTATTTATACTTTCTGTAACTAATTAAACGACAAAAATACCTGTTAAATAAAGTGTGAAAATACATTTCTTGCAGCTATCTACATTATTTTAGTACTGCGTATGCTTTGCCACTGTTTTTGCTGCTAGGTGCCAACTCCTGTGGTGTTTGTGCCCTGAAAGAAATGAATTGTTGTCATGTGATTAATCTTGCCTAGCAACACCATCTCGTTTAGCTCCCGGAGGTCCTGAGAAACTGAAACCCTAAAATCAGCTAGAAAATGTGCTATATACGTAAATAAATGTGTTTTCTTCTTCTGTTTTGATCGTGTTTTGCATGTGTGACATACAAAACATGATCAATACGATGGTAAAACTGTGAAGACACAGTGGACTTACAGTATCTGACACGTGAGAGTGTTTTTAAACCCTTGAACCAATTAAATTGCTGCATCACAAATTTCAAGGTGTCATTAATCCCTCACCTATGACAAGATTTTCACCAATCCTATGTTACCTACAGTCTGCTGTGTAAACTAACGTGTATACTAACAGCTGAGTTCTGCTATTTAGTCCACAAGGGAACTGCTTCACTTCCTATCAAGGTAATAACATTTTAGCTATATTACAGTTTAATCAGGGCTGTGGTTAATGTAGTCCATAAAACGTATTACATTGTTCCAAACACTCCTTCTGTCTCAGGGTGTATATTGTGCTGGATTAGCTTACAATTCTGTACAAACGTGTAGCTTTAGGGCACACACAAGTGTTGCGAATGTATTTCTACGGGAGTAAATCTGTCTCCATGTAGGGAATGTTCAGTATTTTTATAGTTCATTTGCACTTCCGCTGGTTTCGTTTTCCCTCTGCATTTACGCCAGAGAGGCCCTGAATGCTTTGTTTCAGGGAAGTCACAGCATACATTTAGAGGTCTAGCCTTTAAAAAGTTTCCACTGGCTGTTGGTGGATCTATAGTTTTGAAAAAGCATGATGTTTTTCTGTAATCTAAGATTAAGTACCAGGTCAGAGAGGTTGAACAACAAGAAGCAGTTTCTGTTGAGCGTTGTTATTGCTAAAGGAAAGTAAAGCGTGGCTGTTAAAGCAGCAGTGTATTCTGGAGAGACCCACTTGACATCGTAGCGATGCATGAACATGATGTGGTCCCTGTAGGTGCGGTTCACATCCAAGTCAATCTGGCGGATATCTGGGGAGACTCCTCTGGCTCTGGCCTTTAGTTTCTGTAGACGAACCAGAAAACAAAGACAGAATGAGTAAGAACAGAGTGACAGAGAAGACTACGAGAGGAAAACACTGAACATTTAAACTGAATACCGAAAAGTCTGGAAAATAATAATCGATTAACTACAAAGATTGTTTATGATAAAGAGTAACGAGCAGTACCGCATCTCATGTTTGACAAAAGTTCAGCCTAATTGCATTTCTGCTTGGTGACCAACTACTTTAAACTAGCTTTGTAGGGCTGAAACTAAACATAGTTCAGCAATTCAACAGCATGTTTTTTTACCTTGAGTTTATTCAGTTTAGATTCAGTTCACATTGCTGAACAGTATAGCCTTTACAGTTTAAAATACATGTAAAATAAATGTAAAAGCATTTATCTCAACAGGTTAAAGGAGGATCCACTTTTAAATTAAAATGTTGCGACCTACATATTCATGAATCTTACATGTTCCCTTATGCTTATGTTCATTTGGTGCTAAAATGTTTGGTGTCAACCAGATTAAAGATAATGGATTATTACTGACAGAGCTCCCCTGCTCACCAGACAGAACGTTTCTCTTCCTCGCTTTCTGTTTTCAACTTTGTTTGCTCGTTTACCGCATTTGCCCTAAACTACAACACTTCCAGTCAGCGACACACCGATCCTGCCGGTGTTGTGCCGAATTCTGCCTGCCAAGAATTGCACGCACCTCGCGGCGGGTAACGCTCATTTATGCTGAGGAAAAGAGGTGGAAGCAAATCTCGGCAGGTAGCCTACAACATCTGTTCTGCCGAATTCTGCATCCACCTCTTAAGGTCCTTTTCAGACACTTTGCTGTGCTCACTGATCAAACGCGTTAATCACCACATCTTTTAACTGAATCACAATGCTACTTCTACAAAGTGTAATAAAATATTAACGACTCTAAACGTTCAAAAAAGCAGTATTTGGAGGTGCATGCAATTCTCGGCAGGCATGCAAAACTACGCCTAAATGTTTTGATGACATCCAAAGTTTGCCTCAGTGCGGAGCAAAGGTTCTTTAACAGTGTGCAGAAACAAGCGGTGCAGCTTCACACAAACACAATTAAGCCTCCAAACCCACATCTTGCCCACAATAATTCTGGAGCTCAGTGAAATCAAATAAAGCCAAGGTGTGTGCTGACTTGCTTATGAATCTTTATGAGGCTTGTGCAGTAATGAAGGCTGCCGGGCAGCACTCGTTTTATAAACTGGTGTGGGAGAGTGTTAAGTGCCGGCAGGCAGAGGGTGTGTTTTAGCCAAGACATCCATACCTCGTAGAAGTCTTTCTTCTCCTCCTTTATTTTGGGAACGTCGAGCAGCAGACACCACACCTCCCCTCGGAGCTGCAGGGGAATTCCCTTATAGATCCTCCTGACCAGCTAGAGGCAAACAAACAGTGGGGAGGTCATTGTTAGAAAGGCCTTCAAAGGGGAACAGCTTCACTCACCTCAGATACACCCTCCACATTTAGACCAGAGGAGAGGTTTTTATAAAGGTTTTAGTCTGACAAAACATCAGGCCATTATTATTATTTTCATTAAATATCAAATACTGGTGACAAAGTGTTCCTGACAACAGCAATATTCTATAAAAGACACGACATAAAAATACCTTCTCTGTTCATTTTTAATTAGCTTCTAAAAGCCTCACCTGCAGTGGATGATCCCGCTTTAACCCCTAAAAACATGCCAGTAGTGTGTGTGTGTCCCTAATGAGGCTGTTTTGCCATTACATAATGTTATAAATTTGCTTTGCTCAGTTTTTCTATCATTGTCCAGTAAATATCTTTGGGATCTGGACTGTTGTTCCGACAAAAAAGGAATTGAATATGTCACCTCTGTAAAACATCAGCATGCAGTGAAAATACTCGAGACAGACTCAATAATTGATTGATTAATTATGGAAAAAAATAATTGAAGAGAATAATCATTAGTTGCAGCCAGCCCAGTTGTAAAATCTTGCAAACCCCAGTAACAACTGAACCCTGCTGGGAAAGATCTTTAAATCACAGACCACCAAGTTTGTTTACAGATAGTTTGAAAAGTTCTTTATCTATCTATCTATATATATATATATATATATATATATATATATACACACACACACACAATTTAATTATTACTAATTGTTTTACATTATTCATACTGAAGAATTTCTTTGGATATTCTGTTAAAAAAAAGAAGTAATGTTTATATCTTGAAACATGAAAAGTACATTAAGTTGTTTTTTGTGCATATCAGGATTCAATTATTGTTGCTGTCATGGTGTATTTGGAAGAAATTTACTAAGTTCCATTTATCATTTTGTATATTATCTCAACTTGTCCATACAAAGGTGCGGATTTATAACCTTCTAAAAAACTTATATTCTTGGTTTTATATCATTTGATCCATAGACTATGACTGCACGGATACTGGTTGTTATCTGTGTTTACTAATAACTTTATTAATAGAAAACAAGTGTGTGCTCACAAGTTTGAATGAATAAAAAGACAGTGAAATAAAAAAAGAACTCCATGCCTGCAACAGTAAAACGCACATTTTTATCTGCTCAAAGGTTGTTGCTGCAGACCTCAGAGATGCAATCAGAGCAAAAAGTTATTCAGAATAGAGAAACCCATCAACCAAGCTGCTCTCAGCGTGTCAAAGATACAAACTGTGTATGCATCAATGTAC